ATAGCTGGTGGTTTAGTAGAAGTTCGGTTTCTTGGTCGTCGATATACTATGGTTATTGGAGCCCTTCTTACAATGACTTTTCTTTTTGCATTCACAGCAGTTCGTACAGCCGCTCAAAACTTAGCATTCACTGTTTCCATCAGTGTTTGTCTGAACATCTACTATAGTACTTTATATGCATATACTCCAGAAGTACTTCCATCAGCTCATCGAGGTACAGGCAACGCCATAACAGTAGCATGTAACAGAGTGATGGGCATCGTCGCGGCTTTGGTAGGAACATATGCGGATTTGTCATCAAGCGTACCTATTTATGTATGTGCTGCTGCCTTTGGTGGATTAGCATTGCTTAGTTTCTTGTTTCCATTTGAGCCACAAGGAAGAACAAGTAGTTGAAACGAATGGAAAAGTGAACGTGTTAGACTAAAACATTTTCATATTTGAAAACGAATGTAGAAGTTTTCGACATCAAGTACTATTAATAACACTTGTTACTATAATAAAGTGATTGCAATAGTGTTTGAAAATCATAATAACATAAGAAAACAATCGTTTATAGCGTATTCTGATCAACCAATTGTGTATATTTCAGGAATAATCTGAATTTGAATTCAATTTGTCCTACATAGTTGCAGCTATAGACACTATTGAATGAAATGAAATGAGTCATTGGAGTTCTGATATTGATATTGAAAATCATTTTTCCAACGATGGATAGAAAACAAAATATATCCGATGAGATACAAGAAGTAAAGATCATTGCTTCTATTCATCAGAATCAGATTTAGTTTATAATATAATCATGTAATTTTCGCAGACGGAATCAAAAATCGGTATTTGACTTGTGAAAAAAAGAACAACTTTAAATTAAAGAGAATTATCAAAAAGTACGACAGTATTATCTTGTCATAACCACATGATTTAAAAGTAATTTAACATAGTATGAATTTAAAACAGTATAATAACACAGTACAAATGATTATATTACTAAACTTTTAAAGATGGTTAGTTTTTCGACGAAGTATTTTCTGTTTTTCTTTGTTGTTGTGGAAAATATAAGAACTTCTTAGGTGTCTAATCTTGAAGATTGTAGAAGATAAATGGCTGATCGAATGACGTTTATTGCGAAATCACACTTTCTATACCGGAGTGAAGATGACAGAAATAGCCATGATGATAAACAACATGGGAAACGTTCAACAAGCGTGATAAATGAGAAAGAAAAAATCCAGGTGATCAGAGAAACATAAAAGGAAAAAGTTCATTTGTCATGAAGAAGAATACAGAAAAGGGAAATTCCGTCTGTCATGAAAAAGATGAGTGAAAAACAAAAGAAAGAAAAAGATATAGCAAGATGAAAAAAATCCGGTTGGATCTTGATCACCTCGTAACAAGTAGATTTTGTTTTCTCTATATATAATTGAATCCTTCATGTAAATACCAAAATATTCTTCAAACTCACATCAATACGAATAAAACACATTTAATAAATTGTCTGTTATTCATTTTATTCGTTGTAATCATCAGTTTTTTATTAATGTGTTTCGTACTCAAGTATTGATCTGATTATTTATGTTTACTTAGCATTCATATACATATGAATTTACATTGGATTGTTTCGAGCATATTTTGTCAATTCTCTAGTTACTTACTTTTCTGTCAAATCCTTTTCTCGACTCGTTTGAAAGTAAAAAAAGATAGAACGAAGAATAAATACTCTTCAATACTTAAATGTATTTCAATTGAGTGGTAAGCATAATTCAGTTCAATGTATATATATATCAACTATACTCTTATTTCAAAATATTTAAACCATACTTCCTCATATTGAAATAGTAGATAACTGCTTAAGAATTATTGTATAATACGCATCATTTTATTGAATTATTTATTTTAATTTATTTATTTATTTATTATTCTGCACACTGCGGTTATCTTCTTTCATGAGATAAGTAATATTTCGACTAGATGTCTATCATATGAAATAATAACGGTAGAGTTATCTTTTGAAAACATTTTTAGTTCTTTGCTTATCTGATGAAAAGTTTGACCATATATCATTTGTTTTTAATGGCATCGACTAGTGACATCTATAAAGAAATTTTCTCATTTAAATCATATTAAAAGATGATATATTTACTTTAGGAAAAATAAATAAATTATGAAAAATAATTTTATTTAAAATTCTTTACAATTAGTCTAAATAATTGAACTAATCAATAATACACAAGAAGATCAGTCATAAATTCAGATTCAGCTAATTTATGGCATAGACAAGATCATCATTCAGTCCGTACTAGTATTGCTTTTCTGTTCTTTTTTTTTACTCGATAGGAAAGCAAAAGAAAGGATTATGAGAATCGTGAAGCATCATATGTGTTTTTCTTCTGAGATATGACATTTTCCTTTGAGAAATTTTTTTTTTGTTGTTTTTAGAAAAAATTCTATTATAGTTCTTTTAATGGAAAATAATTGTTGAAGAAACAAAAAAAAAGGAAAACACATCGATCGTAAATATCATCATGAGATTTATTAACTAGTTTTTGATAGTAGTCTCATTAGAAAGTTGTTTTTTGAGAAACAATAGTAGTTTAACATCAATAAATCAAAAAACAAAAAACCTAGTAAATATACATCTGTGTTACCATTAAATGACAGTACAATCCTATGATTACTATAAAGAAAGATATATTATACTGTTTATCAATAAAATAAGAAATGTTTTTTGAGTTAATTGTCTGTCAATTCTAGAGTAAAGTTTTCACATCCAAGGACGAGAAAAGAAAGACAAAAGTTGGTTCCGCTTGTCAATCTATGTAATTATTTGTTTTCTATTTCTAGCATTATTGATTTTTTTACATGAACTTATGGACGATTCAACAAGTTTAAGTAGTTTAAATTCAATCGACTTTATTCTTATTGGTAAAGAACAACCACGATTAAAAGTAGCTGCTGGTAAGTTTATAATTCAAATTTTCTATTATATTCTTATTGTAATCTTTATCCTATGAGTCTATATATAACTTTTAATTCCAGCATAGATAAAAAGAAAATATTTTATATTTTTGTATTTGTTCAAAAACAAAAAGTAAGTTATTGCTGCTCTTCTTTTTCAATCGATTTAAATCTCAACACATAATAAAAGAAAAATAATTTTTCATATAATATATATCTAATTTGTCTATGCTTTAATCCAATTTACTTGTACTTAAACTGTAGAATAATCATGTTTTGTTTTTTAATTCAGGTGGTGGAAGTACTGATTTAGAAAATAACATGGCTGAAATACTTAACGAAGTATGAGTTTATTATGTTTTTAATTAATTATTCGCATCTACGTTATTTAGTCATCCTTACAATCAACACCAACTGATGATAATCTTATTCCAGAAGCAATTCCCATTCCTCTTCCTACTGAAAATTTGTCTAAAACATCAAGTCAAGATGATATTAGTAAATTTTTTTTTTTAATTTTATAATATTTTTATTAAAATATTTATTATTGTTGATTAGGTTTAACCAGACAACAACGACCTGATTTAACAAACAGTGTACTTTTTCATGATGTTACTTATTTAGGATCGGCTAGTGTTAATGCACCTCGATCTGAAGAAGAACTCAATAGGTAAAATTGATACAATAAGAAAAACACAATTTTTCGAACAGTTTTATTTTAAGTATAATTTTCTCATAAAGTTGACTTTTGAAATGTAGTTTGCGTCAAATATATAATCAGTATGTATATATTATATCTACATAAAATTTCATCTCTAAATGTCGAGTCATAATGCAATTTGACATTTAACAATTTAAAGTTTGTCAATCTTTGTTGGACAAAATATTCTAAGTAGTGGTTTAAGTCGAATTATATTCTTTTTCTTTTTTTACCATAGTTCAAAAGAATTGAATCCATATAAATACAAAGAACAATGTACAAAGTCTATTTTGATAATTGACTATGAAATAAATTGTTTAGTTTCTGACAGACGTCATCTGAACTCTTAATCATGATTATATAATAAGTAATTTTTCTTTTCAAATATCACATTCGAAAGAAGATCTGATTCTTCAAAATTTTTAGACAATGCATTTTTCGAATCAATAAAAAAAGGTTTTTTTTGAGAAACTTTAAATCATTTGCAATCTTATGTACAACGTCAGACATTATTTCGAATATGATATTTGGAAAAAAAATACTAATTGTTATATAAAAATGATTAAGAGTTTACATGAAGTCTATCATCAAATTGTAGCTCGTGTTTTGATCTTTCTTTTTATATGGATTCAGTTCTGTTGGATAACTGTGAAAATCAATATAATCCAATTACAACGATTGTTCAAAATATCATATAATTTCAGATTGTTATATGTCCAGTTCCACTGTCACTAGATGAAAGTTTCTATAAACATAGTATAAACACTGACTGTAGTTTTGTATTCAAACGAATTGCATCCTTCTTGGAGGTTTCTCGGAAACGACTCGACGAAAGATAATAACAGTTGATCGATTTCGATAAATAGAGCAAAATTTATCATAAACTCAAAATTCTCAGATTATTTCTTCAGTTAACATATGGCGTTCTCAAAGAGTCAAAAATACCCTCAAGTTCTTTCGCAAAACTCTATATTTCATTTTGTCAAGCTGCAATTTTTTTTAAATAACAACTAGGATCAAATCGAGATACATATTTATTGTTCTTTCAAAAATATTGTTCCTAGAGTTTAGGAGAAGAAGAATACTGAAAGAGCCTTAAAAAAAAATGGGTCTTTTTTCAATGGGACTAAAATTTTGTATGGCTCTCGAATTTTATAGGCATAATCTCCGAAAATTTATGTTCAGTATTATATATTAGTTTTTATTTTAAGAAATATGGCTATATTGAATGAACAAAGTCACATGTCAATTCAAGTCACATTATGTGTTCCCGATAATTCCAATGGTGTAGTTCGGTAAGTTTATTGTAGTTAATTGATAACATATCTCAATTGCTATAAGACGCAATTTTTGATATATTTCTTTATCAAATTCAATAATACGATTTGATGATGATTGAGATAATAAATCACAACGTTGTTGATGAAATTTATTTAATAAATCAATATGAGATAAGAGTAATGTTTCAATAGTATGAATGTTATCTAAATCATTTTTTGATTGTTGTTGAATATAATAAGAAAATTCAATAATAATTTCAATTAAACGGCAAAAACAAAATAAAAGTTCATTAATAAATCGTACAAGTAATTGATTTGTTGAAATAGAAAATTTATTTGATGATAATTCATCAAAATTTTCTAAAGATAAATTTGAAAAAATTTTTAATTGTTGAATTGAATCATTTAAAATTGAAATAAAACGTTGTTCGATATTATCAATAATTTCGAATTCTGCACGATTAACAAATTCATTAATACGTATTATTGTATTAGTCATGAAATAAGTTTTAAATAATTAAGCGCTTTATTTATTTTTTCTTAAAGACTACTTGATCCTCAAACTGAACTTGAAATAATATCTTATCGTGTTTCTCAAATACTTTTTTGTGCACGTGGTCCATTAAATACACCATTAGCACGTTGTTGGGCATTTACAACATCACGTTTATCAACATTAACTAATGCTCAATTGCAACAAAATGTTAATAATGGTGAAATTGGACGACCACAACAAGAACTTGTTTATCAATGTCAAGTTTTTCGTTGTGATAATCAAGAAGCGGTGAGAATTGATTTTTATATTCATCTTTTTTTTTGGATTATTAAATAATCAGTTTGTAAGTGATAAGGGAAATAGAGAAATTCTTTATTTAGATTGATGATGATTGCTAAACATTGATTGTTTTTTTTTTCTCATTTTGATTAGATTTATAAAATCTTACTCAGTTTTGCAAATGCATTTCGACGTACAACATCATCATCAAATAGTCAACCATCATCAATACCTGTAAATCAACAATTAGCATCAATATCTCGTCGTACAACATCATTAATTGGTCAAGCAATACAAGCAACTGTTGCTCAATTACAAACACAATCATCGAATTCAAATCAATCTTCATCAAGTAATCAACAACAATTATTACAACGACCAACTGATGGACCAATTAAATTTCGAAGTTTTCTTGATATTAAAGAAGAAACTATGGATAATAAAGGAAATGTTAGTTTTATTTCTGTACCAAGGTAAAAAAAAGAAGATACTAAATCAAGAATTAATAAAAATAAAATCTTTTTTTTTTTTTTTGTTGATTAGACCAGAGAAAAATGTATTTCGTTTACGAAAAGATGTTCGAAAAAATGTTACTGTTGCTCTTCAGCAAATTCGTGGTTTTTCACTTAATATTGAACGGTAAATGTTCTAGCTTTTGTTTTCTTTTGATTATTCTTATTCTATTAATAGATGTTTTGGTATGCTTCTTGCTCAAGGACGAAATGTTCGTGCATGTGATATGCAGTTACTTGATTTGGTTTGTTATTAGTACTGTTTTTTTTTACTGATTGAATTATATTTTGTTTTTCTTGTAAGGAATCAATGGGGAAATCAGACGATAATCGATATTATATGGTTCGTGGAAACTGGGATCCATCAGCACGTGGATTCAAAGAATTGATACATCTTAATGAAGAAACACCAAAAGGTATGTCACAATCTATAGAATCTCAATCATATGGCTTTAAAAAATTGCTTTTATTCTTGTTGTTCTTTTTCTGTTTGATTCTTTTCATGGCATTAGGCAAATATCAGAACGACTACCACCTGCAATTTTTCATGGCAAATATTTTTCTTTCTTTTCTTTAGGAGCGCGTGTTTTTTTAACAATTGGTCTTGATCTAGTAATTAGTGGTATTCACGAACCAGTTCGTTTTTTAATCGAAGCTAAAGCACGTGTTTGTGTATTAAATAGTAAAGGTGATATTTTATCTCAAGATATTAGTGATACAATTTGGTCACCATTTAAAAAGCTAACACCATTTACTGAAGAATTTAATATGATTCTTCGAGAAGTAAGACTCTTTTTTATGAATCAAATATGAAGGTTTTATTTATTTTTTTTTATTAGGCAACACCTAAAAGTTCTTCATCATTAAATCAAGATGATACATATGAAGTTGTACTTTTGGAAAGTAATTCAGAAGCTGAAAGACGAGCAAAATTACGTCAATCAGCTGCTACTACAGCAGCTGAAGAAGATGATGATGAACCTATGGTAAGTGGTTTTGGTTATGTAAGCAAAGAATGTGATGAAGAAGTTCTTGGCAATTGGAGTGATATATTGAGTAAATGGAGAAAAAATTATTCGGAACGACCACGAGGTTTACAAGCACTTGTACGACGAGGTATTCCAGAAGCATTACGTGGTGAAGTATGGCAATTATTAGCAGGAAGTGTTGGTGATGAAAATGAAATGGTTAATACTTATCGTTTATTATTAACAAAAGTTTGTTCAGATTTGAAGAAGTTTCTTTTTTTGTTTGTTTATTGTAAAATGATTTTTAATGATAGGAATCAGCAAGTGAACGTGTTATATTAAATGACTTAAATCGAACATTTCCAGCTCATGAATATTTTAAAGAAGCAGGTGGCATTGGACAAGAAGCTTTATATAAATTAAGTCGAGTATGTAAAATACAAAATAGAACTTTATTTTAATGAAATTTTTTTTTTTTGTTTAAAAGGCTTATTCAGTACGTGATGAAGAAGTTGGCTATTGTCAAGGTTTGTCATTTGTTATTGCAACTTTACTTATTCATGTAAGAAAAAGAAAAAAAAAATATTTTGTTTGTTTTTTGAATAAATAGAAATATTTTTTTTTAGATGCCTGAAGAACAAGCATTTATGTTATTATGTAAATTAATGGAAGATCCAAAATATTTATTACGTGAAATGTATAAAGCAAATTTTGAAAATCTTCAAGTTCGATTTCATCAATTAACATGTCTTATACAAGATAATTTACCTGATCTTTATGCACATTTTGATGACCTTAAAGTTGAATGTCATATGTATGCTTCACAATGGTTTTTAACGTTATTTACAGCAAAATTTCCACTTTATTTAGTATTTCGTATTATGGATATTTTTCTCTATGAAGTTAGTTTCATTTTGAAAACAGTTTACGCAATATATCGAAGCTTATATCTCGACTAAAAAAGAGGAGGGTTTTATTATTAGAAAAATTATGATTGACGGAACGTTGTTTGAGATTAACAAAGTTTGGAAATTTTCAAGTCCATGGTATGTGTAAAGTTGTGATGTTTGAATTCGGATTTTTAAACTTCTAATACAATTCTTTCAGAATGAGAAATACATATAGAAATTTTTCATCCTCGACTTGTTCGATTACTAAGAACATTTGAATCTCAACTCTATAAGAACAGTTTAAATTTTTATTGATCAATCCATGATTTCAAATAGCAAAACCTTCATTTTCGAGATATAAATTTCATTATTTAATAATCAATAGTAAATATTTTATTTCAATAGGGTTTCAATGTACTCTTTGGTGTTGCTTTAGCTTTACTTAAGGTTTGTCTATTGAATTTTGAAAAATTTTGTTATTATTTTTGTTTTTGGTTAATATAGTTCAGTCAAAAAGATTTATTATCACTTGATTTTGAAGGTGTTATGAGATTTTTTCGTGTTAATTTACCGAAAAAATATCGATGTGAAGATCATGCTGATGAACTTATTCAAACAGCTTGTTCAATGAAGGTATTTTCAAAATAAAAAAACGAACAAAATAAATATATATTTATTTAATGAATATGATTTTTCTATAAATAGATTAATGTCAAAAAATTAAAACGATATGAAAAAGATTATTTTACACGTCGAGCTGAAGAAGAACAAGGAGAATTACCATTACAACGTCTTGAAGCTGATAATAAACGTTTAACTGAAACATGTATGCGTTCAGAATTAGAAAATGAAATGCTTGCACTTGAATTAGTTAATGATCGTGTTAGACTTAAAAGTAATCTTGATCAGGTTTGTTGTTGTTTTTTTTTTCTTTCAATAAATTAATTCAATAAATAATTAGGCTGATGATCAAATTGAAAAATTAACAAGAGAATTACAAGCTACTCGCGTGATTGTAAAAGAAAGTGAACAACATACATTTCGATTAACTGAAGAACTTGAAAATGTAAAGAAAAAATAAAATTTATTTGAAAATCATTTTTTTTTGTTTTTCTTAAAATTTAGATTCGAGACGCTTTTCGACGTACATGTGATGAACTTCAACAAACACAAAAAATTGTTACAGAATATAAACAAGTAAAATATTAAATAAGATATTATTAAATAATCTATGTTTTTTTCTTTAAAGATTTGTTCACAATTAAATGATCAATTAGATAAACATAAAGAAAAATATCAAAAGAAAATTGAAACTATTCAAGTAGATATTTAATTGAATTTTATTGGTTCGAGAACGAATGCAACTAGTAATCAATGATTAGTCGTATTCTAAAAAAAACAGAATACATATCTAATAGTGATGTTTTTAAGTAGCCTCGTTCGACACTAATGTCTGCACCAAAACTAAAGAGAGATAGGTGTACCGTTGATAAATCGATAACAACAATACTTAGTGATCGGTAGTTTTCAACAATGGTAAGAGGGAAAATCCTGACATCTAACTGTCTGACAATAGTTAAATATAATTTGACCGAATATATGCGTAATTTCGTTTGTATGAGAAATAATCATTAGGATCGGGTTTGAGTTCAAGGGACGGAATCCTCTATTAGAAGCACATATCAAAATTTATATCGTATCAAACAAAAAAGATGTCTGAACTTCTCCTCTTTCGATTGTTGAAAAGCGCAGGTCACTAAATGTAACCTTTGTCGAGTTATTAAATTTTTAACCATGTCTCTTTAATTTTGACACCATCATTGGTCAATAGTCATGTTTTTTAGGCCAACATAATTTTTTAAACTTTCTATTCATATCATCGAACAAATTCAAAAAAATTAGAGAAATCGAAAGCATCAGTGTCGTGTATAATTCTTATGTTTAAACCTCATCCTCTAAATCTATGCATCGTCGTTTGACAGCTAGCTGCTGTCGATACTTAAGTTTTAAGACAAAGTTGTAAATCACGGCAAAAAATGTTAAAAATCAGACTTTTTGACTATCTGATTTATTCGTATTGCCAACGAGTAAAAAAAAACATGACAAAAAAACAAAGCTTAAATCACAATCTCTGCGAGATTAAAATGTAAAAGACAATGTAGTCGCTCTTTCTAATCACAAAGATATTATTTTATTGTATCTATTCTGAGATATATTTCTTCATTATCCTTTTACTTAATCCTTCACAAATGCAATGGGGACGTAGCTCATTGATTTTATAATGAGACGCCATTTGTATACGATTTATAATCATATAAAGTCTATTACAGTCTGTAGGAGAAGTTCAAATTTTTATCTCTATACATCAACATTCATTTTAGATCTCGTTTCATAAAATCATCCGTTCTACTCTTATCCTATAGGGTTGATTGACTTCGAAAACTTGAAAAGAAAAAAACTTGACGATGTTTTAATCGAAAAAAGCTTGTTTTTCTCTGCTACAAGCTGATAATCTAATAGAAAATATTGACAATATATCATTTTGAATATATCCATTGAATGTCGATTATTACTTAAGCAATCTCTTTCTGAGATTTTTCGAGAATGGTTTGTCAAAAAGTTAGATCACAGGTTACATTTTGTCTCATATAATTATCAATCGAACTAAATCAATTAATTGTTTTTTGCTTATTATTTAGAATCTTTCTTGCGATTCTTGTAAAAATTTAATAAGTGGAATAATATCTCCACCATCAAGTGTAGTATCAACACCTGAACGAGAAAGAATAAATGATAATAATGAAGATATTTTACTAACAACATCATCAGTTCCATCATCTATTACTGATCGTTTACGTCAAGTTGAAATTGAATTAGCAGAAAAAAAATTAGCTCTTACAGAAGCATTATGTAAAAATCAAGAACTTGCACATCAACTTCGACATTCATCAGTAAATGATTCAGACACAAATTCAGTTAATAGTTTTCGTGCTATTACTACTAATAATAATGCAACTGTTAGATGGTTATCAAAAACGGTGAATTCAATAAAAGAAGCAGCTAGTTCAACAAATCGAACAAAAATTAATTAAAAAATATATATTTACATTCTATGCCATATTCGTATATATTTCTATATTTTTTTTTAATTTTGATCTTGTAAATATTTAATTATTGCTGTTTCTTTCTTTTTCTTTTTTTTTGTGTGCAATATATAAATACACATGTATCTTTATGTTCGTATATTATTTTTTTTTTCTTTGATTTTTTTTTTAAGATAATAATGTTAACTTATCCATTTGATTTTCATTTCACATCTGCTATTGTTAGTCGTGTATCAGCAAGTTTAAAAGATGCTGCCATATGTCAACGTGAAATACGAGAAGTTATTAATACTGAAAAAGCACGACGACAACATCAAGATTATATTGCAGTATTAAGGTAAATTAACAAATAGATTGTATAGTATTTTCTATATATAAGAGTTCTTATGAAGATAATGATTATGTTCTATAAAAGAAGATTTACATTATATGAATTCAGAAGAAACTTAATTGAGATATGAACAAACTTTTTGAATCACAGATGGGATAGATGAAGATTGAGTCTAATCAACTATGGCTTAGTTCAAATTCGGTTATAATATATTATATTGAAAGGATCTGATAAAAAAATGACCAATTTTTCCGTACTCTGGAACTATTGTAAAAATGAAAGTACTGCAACAGTATACAAGTACCTCGGTATTGGTTTATTAAGATCGTATCCTTTTTTTTTGAATAAAAAGTTTTATAAACATCAGAACTCCTGGTGATTTCCTTCAGAAAGAACAGACAATCGAGTTTTAAAAAAAGTTTCATATTTCAACAATATTTTTCAATAAAAATCAATTGCATCTAAGATATATTTATTGCATCGTAGTCTTATCGTAATTCAAACAAATGTACATACTGCTTATATCTTACTAATCAAAATATGTATGATACTCTTAAAGAATTCATATTTTTTTAATCGTTCTTTTATAACCGTCTAGTTAAAATAACATAAGCTTTCGTATAAAAACTAGGGTTAATAGAAAAGTAATCATCCATAATAAATTTGATTGACTATCGATATAATGCATTCAAGCTTGCGTTCACAGTGGTAGTCCTTTGCTCAGTTCATAGAACTCCATGAACAACAGAACGCACTAGTAAATCAAAGTTATTATGAATGATTGCTTTTCTATTATCCCTAGTTTTCATACGAAAGCTTATGTTATTTTAATTCGACGGTTATAAAAGAACGATTAAACAAATATGAATTTTTTAAGAATATTATACATATTTTGATTAGTTCTAACTTTTAATGTATTTTCCAAGTCTGAAATTGATTCGTTTCAATCTTTGGTATATGTTCTATAGAATAGTTTTTTTTACTTCTTATATACGTGAATCCGATGCTATTCTTCAATCTTAAATAATTGATGTGATAATAATAAAAATAGTGCAACAAATTATATGTATATATTTTGAAGTAAATTTATTTGAATTAATTCATTTAGAAAACTTGGTTTGGATGTAATTGAATTACCTGCTGATGAATCATTACCTGAAGGAGTTTTTGTTGAAGATACAGCTGTTGTTTGTGATGGTACTGCACTTATATGTAGACCTGGTTTACCTGGACGACTGAAAGAAGTAATATTTATAATTAGATTTTTAAAAATGAAACTTTTAATTTTAGGTTGATATTATTCGAACAATACTTAGACGAGAAGGTCTTTGTATAGTCGATATTAAAGATCCATTAGCAACTATTGATGGAGGCGATGTTCTTTTTACTGGTACTTTTTTTAAAAATTTATATTAAATAGAAATTTCTATTAACTATTTAGGTCGTGAGTTTTTTGTTGGTTTATCAAAGACTACAAATTTAGCTGGAGCTAAAGCAGTTGCATCGGCATTTCCTGAATATCCAGTAACCTTACTTCGAGTATTGTTATAATATATTCATTCAAAGTTACTTATATTTTTATACAAATTTTAATTAGGTAAAGAAAGGTGCACATTTGAAAAATTTTGTTTCAATGGTAGGAGTGGATACAATGGCTATTGGTGGATCCGATATAGCTAAAGATCTTCTTCGAGTACGAATATTTTATTTTTATTTAAACAATAAAAACAAAAGAAAAGTATTTAAATTATTTATTTATCTTTAGCAAATGGAAGAAATGAGTGAATATAAATTATATAAAACAATAACATTGCGTGATGATGCTGCAGCTAATTGCTTATGGATTAATGAAACTATTCTTCATTTACCTGCTGATCATCGATATGAAGAAAGTATTCGAGTAATTATTTTATTTTAATTTTATTCTTATGTAATAATATAATTATTTTATTAGACTTTAACAAGTCGACTTGGTTCAACAGTATCACATAGTGAATTATTGAATAGTGAATTTGCCAAAATTGATTGTGTTCTTTCAAGTCGATGTCTTCTTTTCAATCGATCAAAAGAACATACCAATAATGATCGATAAAAGTATTTGATATAAATCATTCTATATGATAATATAAATTCTAGTCATTTTTATTATAATTTTGTCAGTTAGTCACATTCCAGTCATTCATTTTTATGTTCTCTACAACGAGCCTTATACTTTTTAATAAATAAATAATTATATATTTTCATTGATATTAAATCTTTTATTAAAAAAATAATTTTTTACTTATTTAAACATTGGATCAAAGTTCATATTTTCAAGAATAATGTGATATTCATAAACAGTCTCATATTTATGATCAAATCTTCCATTATAGATTTGCTTGATGACAATGATTGAAAAATGAAATTATTGATATGATAAAATGTATAACGATAGAAAAAAATATCACGGATATTGTTATGTTCAATAAGTATATCTGCCATTCACTACTCATATTTTCGCAAAAAAACATTGACTTTTAAACAATTTAAATTATTTATTATGACTAAACTTGATTAATCATTAACTAATAAACAAGCAAAAAAGTTTTTATTGCTTCATCAATAGTGAAGAGTATTGTTCTTGTTCAAGACATTGATTTGATCGAGCTAATTTCAAAAAGATCTGCATGCATAAATCATACAAGTGTATTTACAGTATCTTGTTAGACCATGTCAAAGCTCATTCGTAATTTTTCATTCGAGATACTTAGAATTTATATGCTGCAAAATGACATTGATATTCAATCGTCCTTCTGGAAAACATATTTGTTGCTCAATAAAATCTCACTCAAATGTTTTACAAAGTAATTCAAGAATTTCATAATGACTTTAATAGTAGCTAAACAAATAAGCGTTTGGCAAACTCTCAAAGAAACTTTACTATTTATTCAGTTAGCATTTTGTATGTAAGCTCAAGAAGTTAGATAGCCTTGACTGAATCACCCAAATCAAGATAAATCAATGCTAGACGATGTCTATTAATTCGGGCGCCTAACTACAAAGCTTTGACACATATTTCATTGGAGATTTTTTGAAGTTTAATAGCTTAATATAATTCTATTCAAATACAATATAAATCAGCAAAATTGAAAGTCATATCGAACTCTCCTATACATGCATAAATATTACCAATAGCTCATAGTAAGTCAACAATCTATGAATGGTCACCGAGCAAAAATCATCTCAATGCGTCAAGAGATTGTTTTAGTTCGTTATATACGACTAATGTCACATAGAGAATCAGCAATAAGATGATGAGCGAACTTGAAGGTTATCTGTACGATACTCAATAATTTTTCATAAAATTTAAGAGTATCATTAAATCGACCAATGAAAACATAAATATGAACAAGATTAATTTTAACTCGTAAATAGACAGAATTTTCAAATGATGGCTTTGCTCTATTATACAAATCCCTTCCTTATAAAATAATTTTGAGAAATTTTTGATACACTTATTCATAGAAGAAAAGCTGGTGCATGCCTTGTCTGATTGGATATTTATACCTTCATATTCCGATGATGAAAACACCAAATATATCGTTTCTTCAATACTATGGCATACTAAATGGTCATATTCAATAAGGTCTTCATGACATTCGTCTGCGGCTTCAAGGCAAACACATTAACAGTTGTTGTCAGTATCTTTATACACATTTATTATTTTGAATATGACTTACAGACTGATTAGTCATTTTTTAATTTTGTCTTGCATAAAACTCACTTAATGAATGTTAAGCAACATTACCGATCTAAGGCTAGTGTCAATATCACTTTGAACAAGTACACTCAATTCATCAGAACGTTTTTAACCTTCTCCAGTATAGATGACAGTTAATTATTCATTATCAAAAATTACGACCGAAGAAATATTATCAGAAGCTATCCACTTTTTATTCATTTTATCATCATCATAGCTGAATATGTTATAACCAAAATAATTCTTTATTAGTATGTTTCTCTGGTATTTTGAAACTGAGTTGTAATGATTATTTACTAAATGTTTGAGAGGCGACCTTTTAGTTAACTGATAAACTCAATAGATTTCAAATTGGAACTGTAGTCTTCAGTGAAATATAATATCCATTAGAATGTTTGAAACTTTGACTAAAAACATAACTTCTTTCTTAAGAATCTAAATTTTAAAATTTTCGTTAAAACATTCAATCATGAAGAACTTTTATTTCGTTTGAAACAAAATACAAAAGATGAGTGTTAAATATAATGTATAATATATTTTGTGTATTGTTATTTGTTTTTGAACGTTTTCAAGCTCCACATGGTTGTTTACCTGTACAACCATATCCAGCTTGTCCATCACATGCATAAACAACAAAGGATGATACTGCATATTGCCATTCATATCCACCACCGGTTGCCGTAATTGCGTATGAACAACAACCATAATCACCAAATGTCATGTCAACTTGTTTTGGTTCTTGCCAATTTTCTCGATCGAAAACAATCGGATTGAATTGAGCACATCGTGTACCATTATAGTACGATGATGGTTGTAGTTTAAATTCAACTTTGACTTGGTCACCAAGTGAATGAACTGGTGGTGTTTGTAATTTTAGTGTAAAATGATCTTGACCATTTGGAGTTACCACAAATCCTT